GACCAGTACTCCTACAAAAATAACAAAGTCTCTATTTCAGTCAGTATGTAAAATAATTTATTTTAAAAATTATTGTAAGCATGTTGTGAATATTAGCATAACTATATTTGTGAAAAGATAACATCAGTAATATCCAACGGATGTTATCACTGTTTTGTTTGCAATAAAATAGGAAATATCTCTCCATTAAATAATCCCTATGCCCAGTCACTGTTTTTAATCTATTTTACTTTTTACAGTTAAATACTTATCAAATCAATTCACTTGATCAAAATTGATAGCTGCATAAAACACAACATCAGCAGCTATACTGTTTAAGTGCATTTGTATTTCCAATACAGTACACTTACCATCACAACTGCATTCGGTTTATGACTATAATCTTTTTTGTTAACACAGGTCAACCTGATTTATCTGTGCAAGAGGAAGTAAAGGAGGGTGAGAATGTGTCTGCATCCTGCTCCGTGTTTCACTCCTGCCCCACATATCCACCTTCTTTCATCTGGAGTCACTTTGGAGAACAGCAAAATCAAACACAGCAGCTTCATGAAGGCCAGTGGAATTCAACATCTACTCTGACCTTTCGCCCAAACCGCTCTGATCACAACAAGCCTTTAAAATGCAGAGTAACATACCATCGAGGGCTGCACCTGGAAACATTTAAGATACTTCAAGTAAAATGTAAGTATACTGTATCAGTTTATACTAATAGCAGATAATTCTACCAGTGCAGATAATCAAATTCGGGTGAAACGGGTGAAAACGGGTGAAAACCCGTTTTTATCAGTTATGTGAAATTGCCAGAGCAAAGCCTTATCTTCCTCCAAAGGACCTAGAAAAACTTTTTCATGCCTTCATCACCTCTGGACTGGACTACTGCAATTCTCTCTATTTGGGTCTTCAACACTCATTTCTCCATTGCTTGCAGTTAGACCAAAATGCTGCTGCACGTCTTTTAGTGTTAGAATGTATGAAAATATCACTCCAGTTTTAGCAAATTTACACTGGCTCCCTGTCTAATATCATGTTGATTTTAAGATTCTTTCACTTACTTTTAAAGTTAAATGATATGGCGCCCAGTTATTTAAGCAAACTCCTCAACATGTATAACCCCAAAAGAGCACTGAGATCGTCTAGCCAGATGCTCTTACTACAGCCAAGGTCTCGATTTAAGCATAGAGGAGATCGGGCCTTCGCAGTTGCACTGCCTAGACTCTGGAATAATCTGCCAGATGATATTCGTACTTCAGAGTCTATTCAGTCTTTTTAAATTGTATCTTAAAACTCACTGTTTTAGCGTTGGCTTTTAATTCAAGTTTAGTTTGAGTAGCATCACGCTTGTTTTATGTTTGTTAATGCATTGTTTTTCTATTGTTTTCTCTTGTTCTTAATTAATTGTAAAACACTTTGTTGCTTTTAAATGTGATATAGGAATACATTTTGATTTGATTTAGATTTTAAAGCTTTAATTTAAAGGTTGAGTATAAGTCAGATGTAAATGAGGGAGAATCTGTACACCTGAAGTTCTCCAGTGATGCTAACAGGATATGATAAATCCCCACTAATTATATTTCTTGTCCTTAAAGCTGCCCCTGACATCAAGACTTCCTCAAAGTGCTCCTCTGAGAACGGCATCATAAAGTGTGACTGTATCGTAGAGTCCGAGCCTCCCAGCATGGTCTATTTTATTTTGGGTGACAGAGTCATGCAAAGCAGCAAAGCAGAGAAAAATGGCTCTGTTACTATTGAGACTCTGCAGACAGACTTTGGGTCTTTCAGGCGTGTGCAGTGCCTGGCAAACAACGTGGTGGGATATGACAACATCTTGCTCTCTTTACCTGTTAATGGTAAGAAAGACTTAGGATGCACTGATCTCTCTGTTTTTACATGACAAAAACACTCATTAT